GATGACTATTGTTTTTAAGCTGCCTCCAAAGAGTGACATTATGGGATGTTAGGTGTAGTTTTTAGGTACACCAATTACCTATATACAGGTGGTTTATATATTTGGCAATTTATGTCAAGTGAGCAAAATCACAATAGGTTTGACCTATGGCTTTTTGAATAATAAAGTGTTAAATTCAACATCGTTTACTTTACTGGTACTGCATATCTACACATCTACACATACATGTATATAAATCCCCCTGTGCTGAATGTACATACAATTACATACACTCTCATTCAAGGGCAAAAATGGAGGCAAAAATTCCCTGCTTGATAGTACACTTTGTATGTTGCAAACTAAAAAGAGGTAGAAGAAAGGAAAGAAAGCAAGCTATATATCTTCTGCAAAACCTTAAAGCTATACACCTTCAGTAAATGATAAAAAGCCAAAACACCATACACTCCCTGCAAAATCTTGAAGCTGTACAACTTCTGTTAACTCATTCACCCCTGAAATTTCATAATGAACTATTCCAACATTTGAATTGGAAGAGTTCAAATGTGTTTTCAGGGTTGAATGAGTTAAAGCCTAAAGCTTCTCCACATTCTGTAAATGATATACCACTTGCCGTAAAAGACATCCATCCCTTGTAACAGCTATTAGCCTTCTGTAAATCTACAATCCTATAACAACTGTGGACTTCTTCAAAACTTACAGGTATTGACCTTCTGTAAAAGGTATGTACCTGTACAAGCTTTCTGCACACACTAAACACTACCTTCAAAAGCTTAAAGCGAAACCCTTCTTTGAAGGCCATACAACTGTTGCAAAAGCTTAAAGCTTTACACATTTGGTCAAAAGCTATACACATGAAAAAGCTTTAAATCTTTTGTAAAAAAGGATTTTGTTTACTTTGGCAGCTGTAGTATGCATTGTTTTAGTTAATATTTCATTTATTGAAGATGAAATTAGGAAAAAAAATCATCAACCACTGAAATATTTTCAAAGTTACAGCATTTTTGGAAATTAAGTGCATCAGGCCGGTATATATCAAAAACTTGCAGGTGGGAATCTAGTAAATAACTAAATAAAAAATCATTATCAACAAGTAGTAAAATTAAACATGATCACATATTATAATCTGACATTTCACTATCACACTAAAACAGCCTTTTTGAAAACTTTCCAGATTTTGATACCATTTAATCTAACTTACAAACTATTGAAAAAATGACCATTTAATCTAACTTACAAACTCTTGAAAAAATGGACCAAGTCCGCAAGTTTTTCCCGTTTTTCAACAGGGATTGTTAAGTTTTCTTGTTCTTGATCCTGAGCAAAATTTACATCTGTTGTTCATGAGTGCATGGAACATCCCAGTTTCAGCGGCTCCTGTCTGTTGCACGCAATTAAATGCATCTGGCCAAGTATACCGGGTAATTACGTATGGCCTTAAATTATTGTGTAGATATTGTTTATCTGGCCGAGCTTGGTCACATTCGAATAACACTAAAATATCAATGATCACTGGGACAATATGTATTTTGGCAGTCACACAGTTCTATAAAAAAATATATTATAAAATGAATTTTTAAATAACATTCTATCATTGTGTATTACATATCATTAAAAAGCATGGTTAACAACTTTCCCATCGGATTAAATCCTCAGGACGATGATTGATTTTGGATTTTGGAATTCATTGACGTGTTTCCTATGCCAAAACTATGGCACATATTTATGTATTTTCAAATGACTTTATATCAAAGTACAACATACTGAACAACAGTATACTGCTGTAGAGTTAAAATATACCAGAGCAACAACTCACAAGGACACAAATCTAAACAAAAAGATGATATAAAATGACTACCGCATACACTGAAGAGACATCAAAACGACAACAGCCTACACAAAGGAGACATCAAAAATAAATTGAAAGACATCATGAATCCCTGTAGAAAAATTGGAGGAGAACCAGGTGTTCAGAATGAGTGTTTCCTGAACCACGTGTGGCTCTAACCATGATGTCTTCCCTCAAATCTTGTTAAGCAATGTAAGTCACTAACAATTTAAGACACAGTAAATCAAAATTTAATCCACGAAGACAAAGAAATATCTTGGTTGGATAACAGATCTGTTAACCATAAAAATTCCTGTTATGTATAGATTGATATCACTCCAGTAAAAAGAAACCTGGCTTGGAAGTCAATTTGTCCACAAGAAGCATCTATCAAGAAAATTCTGATACTTTCAATGACGCTGAATAGCAAATCAACTGTTCCAAGTAAACCCCACAAGCAGGTACACCTGATTCAATTTTAAAGTTGCACTTTGAAAGACTTCTCCATGATTATGTGAATTTGCAAATGAACAATATTAAATATATCTCTCAAACTCACATGAAACTTATAAACTAGAACTATGAGAAAAAGATGGACTGTATGTGTGTCCTACCTTTTTACAGTAGAAACCAGAACTGTAAACCAAAGGCAAATTTAATCACTTTCTAATCATCCATATGTATATGCGTTCTCCCTGTATCATGAGAACAGTTATCTAGATAGACAGGTACAACTACATTTGATGTGATTTATCCTACCAGAAACTGATCAAAAAGCTATGAAGGAGTAGTCGTTTGAACAAGGCTTTGAAAATGAAAAAGGGCAATAACTCTGCAATTGAAAAATAAACTGCACAGTTAACAACTACCTTGCATATAGATAAACAACTACCTTGCATATAGATAAACAACTACCTTGTACAGAGACAGAGTGTTCAAAGTTTAACTGTAATCTAGGCAGTGCTTTAGAGGATGTAGTCAAACAATCATAATTATGTCCCACCTTCAAGCTAATCTTATTGTGGGGGAATAGTTAAGCATGGGTTGATGGAGGGGTTGGTCGGTGGTAGATTTCAATAACTGAACGTACCGATACATAATCGATTTTGTAAGCAAGTTTGATCTCTTGCAAAATAAGAATTTGAAGAAAAAGAATCAGATCTTCAACACTTGATTGTGTGAATGACAGAAAGGTGAATGATTTCTTGATTCCTTTTACATGCCACTTAAAAATGTATATAATAAATATATATTTAATGCATGGCTAAATGACATCAACATGAAGAAGTAGTGTAAAAACATGTACTGGGCTGATTTTTTGTCTTTTAAATTAACAATAAATCTTCATAAACCCACAAATAATTATGATAACTACAGGCTGATACCTGGTACACAGTAACTATACAAAGATACACCAAAATTATTTTGAAAATAAATGCCATTGTTTTGAACAGGTACATAAAACAAACATTTCATTCATCAATAACATAGAAAAAAATAGAGTGCACAAATTAATGAGAACACAAGGGATCTTGTCACCAACCACCATGTAGATCTCTAAGGAGGTTTGATATCCCACCACCATGTAGATCTCTAAGGAGGTTTGATATCCCACCACCATGTAGATCTCTAAGGAGGTTTGATATCCCACCACCATGTAGATCTCTAAGGAGGTTTGATATCCCACCACCATGTAGATCTCTAAGGAAGTTTGATATCCCACCATCATGTATATCTCTAAGGAGGTTTGATATCCCACCACCATGTAGATCTCTAAGGAGGTTTGATATCCCACCACCATGTAGATCTCTAAGGAGGTTTGATATCCCACCACCATGTAGATCTCTAAGGAGGTTTGATATCCCACCATCATGTATATCTCTAAGGAAGTTTGATATCCCACCACCATGTAGATCTCTAAGGAGGTTTGATATCCCACCACCATGTAGATCTCTAAGGAGGTTTGATATCCCACCACCATGTAGATCTCTAAGGAGGTTTGATATCCCACCACCATGTAGATCTCTAGGGAGGTTTGATATTTTCTGTTCTTGCATCTGTTTGAGTCACAGTTATGTCATGATCAACAATACATCATGCGCTGACTTGCTCAAATTCATACTGGTGTGTTTTACATTATCCTAACATGATTAAGTCATCTTCTTGCCTATTGACTAGAATAGAAATGTTTATAAACTATAATTTCTGACAGTCATATTTTTCTTCTAATCAAGCTTCAAATCAATTATGCTAAACTTGGGAACAGGAAGAACATATTTATGAAATTTGATAAAAAGTACTTTCTGAGCAATAGTGATTAACAAATTAATGGTTAAAAGATGTTTGCCTTGTCGTCATTGGTTTTTCCGTTTTTTCCAGATATAACTGAAAATAATGTGCACAAATAATAATCGTAAAGAACCTAGACAGGAAACGTGAGAAAGATTCCTCCAGAACTATTAGCCATAACAAACTTTATTTGTAAAATTCAAGATGGCCTCCTAGCAGCATATACAGTTCAAAATTATTTTTTTAACAGAAATAACCAAGAATTATGGGGAACCAATGATGAAATTTTTGAAAGATCTGTCCAGTGCTTTCTGAGAAATAATAACAAATTTCTCTGTCAAAATCCAAGGAGCCCATCTTGTTCTTCTGATCAGTCCCAAAATTGAACATGCATAAAAAACAGAATATGGAGACAATACATTAAAAATTTGAGAAAGAATTTATCAATTCTCTTTGAGAAATTACGCTAAAAACGTTTTAAAGGAAAGATGATGGATGGGCAAGGGACAAATGGTGATTTGAGAGCCTATGTTAAAGTGGGGTTTTTGTTTTTTTGTTTTTGTGAAAAAGCTTGTTCATTGATATAAATGAGCATGTAGCTTTTATCTTGATTCCTGATAATGATGATGTAAACATAATTTAAAAGATATTTGATCTTTCTTTCAAGTTTCATTAACGTATCAGTCATTGCTTGAAAGCTCAAGGATTTTTACAATAAATTATTCGAAATAAATAAAAACTTCATGCTATTTTTTTTAACTTACTTTCAAAATAAATTAATACACAAATGCTCAAAAAAATGAATGACTTAAAATATTATAGTACAATGTACACAAATTTACAATTCAATTTCAACAATATCGAAATCATCCTAAAAATAATTTTGATAGCTTTCAGCAGTGCATTGAGATTTTGTAAAACCTCTAAAACAAGGAACAAAATAACCAAATATTGCTAATACCCAGTATCAGTTGTGTAAATAATAAAGATACCATCTCTAGGCGAAATTCGTCTCGGATCAGAAAAATATTACCAAAAGCACCAAGAAAATACTAAAATTATAGTATAACAATGAAAGATAACAAATACAGATAACTTGCTGGTATAAGAAATGCAGTCATTTTTGTACGACCATCCAGCCTCCGATGTATTTTACTCAAAACCACCATCTAAACAATTACATGGTACAGCGTATAACAAAGAAAAACCAACAACATATCCCTCAGTAATGATAACTTTTGCAATGACTGTATCATAAAGGTGAAAATATATTACAGACGTATAAAACTACAAATGGTGGGCATTTTACGTTCATATTTTGAACAAATATATTCCAAGACCAGAACTTTTAATGCTAAATTAAGAAAAGATTGATAGAACACAGTCAATGCTAACAGTTTCATAAATATTTTGAATGGTAATTAAAAAAGTTTTTTGGTCCCTTTGCAGTTAATTTGAATGTGTAAATGAATTTGAAATCAGATACAGTTCCAGTTCATTTACTACCATGTTTTGATGCCCATAAGGTAATTATGATGATCTTGATGAATTAAAATCATTTTGATTTTTTTTTTGGTAACAGACTTTGAACACATTATGATAAATATCTTTTAGAGATACATTGCTGCTATTTAAAAAAAACCACCCAAATCCTGCCACACAAACAAGTTTGTTTTGACTAAATATATCACAGTTATTTGCTTGAAAATCTCAATGTAGTTGAGTTTTTGTGTCAGCTGACCAAGAGTCCCGTACGTTCATCAATCCCCCGGATTTCAGATTTTGGATCAGGTGACCTTGAACTCCAAGAAGTTGTGTCACAAAGGTCAATTTGTGGGCAGTGTTCTGCATTAACGGAACAGGTTGATTGTATCGACCAGAATTTCTGAGTTAAAAGGTCAATCCAGGATTCCAAAGCTGCCCCCGTCTTTTTACTATTAAATAAAGCATCATTTATAAATGCATCGGATGCATTAATTTTCAGGACGTTCCTGAATTCCGAAAAGTCCTTGGATGCGTAAAATTCCTGTGGCCCACCATGAGATAATTCGGACTCAACCGGATTAATTGGTTGGCCGTTCATCATGATAAGAGGTATAACAAGAAACTTTGTCTCTGCAAGTACAGTCCAATGGTGCATCAGTTTCACCGTCCAAACACCGGGTCGCAGAGGGACAGACAGTTGTGGTTTGTGGTTGCCTATATATTCAATGCTTGATTTTGGCACAGTCACTTCGTAAGATGCTGCTATGACATTAGCAGGGTCGATCCAAGCAACAGAGACTGTGAATTCCATACCTTGACCCCAAACGTGTCGCAGGACAAGGTCACTGTAAGGCCCTAAAAGCTGGGCGTAATTCCTAAATATCAATTCTTTCAAGTCAAAGTCAGTTCCAACCTGTGAAAATTAAACAGAACATATTTACATTTAACTAAGAAGCATTTAGCTAAATTATTTCAAATTTACATGACCTAGTACATGTATGTAATGGGTATATTCTGGTTTGCTTGTTTGATATTTCACATGCAATGTATTCACAGTGACTTAGTTTATATAACGATGGAGTCTACTGATGAATGGGCCACACTGATGTGGTATCCCAATAGAATATTATGTCACTACTTTGTAACATGAAATAAACAAGAAGGCAGGAGAAATATGAAAACATGAAGATCCAGGCAGATAAATTCTGGCCTAATTCATGTTCTCCTTTAAACAAAAGACACAGAAAATAAACCCATGATTAAGCAAGGAGTCATAACTAAGTCTATGCAAAGGAGTAATTAGCTTCACAACTGTTCCGTCTTTGTGTATTGTAGAGTTATCTTCTCTTGTGAGCAGGTATTGATTGTTACGTCATTGGTTTGTGTGAGAAAATTACGTCGTTTTCTCAAAAGTTGATGACAATTACTCTAAAAAACAAATGACATAACAATCAATACCTGCTCACAAGTTCAGATAACTCTGCAATAAGCAAAGACGGAATAACATCACTGTCTTGCATGTTTTCTATTTTGGACCACAAAGGATTGTGCCCTCTGGCTAGTGCAATGTTCAGGGACCTCCAAAGAAATATTTTAGCGCCCAGTGCAAGGCCATGATCCCTAGCCCTGTGGCTCATCTTTTAAACACATAGAGATGTGAATGTCAACAAGTTCCTTTTTTTTCTTTTTCTTTTCTTTCAATCACCAGATTATGACAACTAAGTATATCAAGGATGTATTCCACACTACTCGGTGTCATTAATAGCAATAAACTTATATCTGATAAACTGTTGATAACAAATATATTATTTGTTTGAAGTTTTGACCCCCTTACCATACCAGAATCTACAACTACTCTACTTAAAGATAGAAAAGATCATGATGCAATTCCCTCTGAACAACACTTTCAGGAGCCATCCCAGTATGACAGGATCCATGTCATAGGGAAATGGTGACCATATGGCCACTCTAAGAGAGGACCTTTCCTTCATCTAGGCCTTGGACTCAAAAACTTTACTATTTTTTATTATCTCTTTATATTGTTCAGTCTATAGTAGGTTATTTCCATCATTCTAGATGACTTCAACCTAGCTTTACAATGATTATTAAAATCCGTTATTATAAGACCAGTATATCTACCAGCTGGAAGAAACTCTGCACGACAACCTACCAATGTATTATTCAGTATGTAAAGAGTTTGCATTCTCTAACTACTATGTCCCACTAGGCGACTTTTTTATTGATGTCCTTTTAGATATGTATTGATATTGGCTTAACAGAGTTATCTATCTGGTACTAACTATTGATGACGTCACAATTCTACCTATTGTTTATAACGTCACAACTTCTGCCATTGTTAATGATGTCATTTATACATATATATATGTGTAGAACAATCGTATGTGCCCACATTTTTAGTACTTCAGGGGTAGAAATATCCGATAATTTTGTCCTGAAGAAGCCCATTGTAGGGGCGAAACCGATCGACACTTCTAATAAACTACAAGAATAACTTATTGCTCCTTCGCCTGTTGTGATTGAATCTGTTTTATTTGCTTAAAGATATAAAGATAATCATCTTAATGATCGTTTATACATGTACAAGATGTTGAAATTCTACATTTGTATAAAAAAGGAAAACATTCGACTTTTAAAATAGGAAATAAATGAATAGTCAGTGTTAGGCACCTAGTGCAAACACAAAATCATCAAGTCTGGTCATATAATAATAACAATTTGAGGTTCTTATATACCACTTTATCACTACCTAGTTTGTAGGTCGTCTCAAAGTGATTCACAAATTATTAACTGTGGTGATAGGGCCGTGGTGATAGGGCCGTTGCAACCAGCAACTCCCTGGGGAGCATACCGCTGTTTAGGCGCATACAGCTATTTAGGCGCTCACAGCTAGCATTCAACGATTCCAGCACTGCCCAAGCATGTACTCATTTACAGCTGAGTAGACTGGAACAAGCGGAGTAAAGTATCTTGTTCAAAGATACAACACAGTGCCGTGATGCGACTCAAACCTGCAACCCACAACCCTTCGGTCACGAGCCTGGCATCCTACAACTAGACTTCTGTGCCTCCAGGTACATGTAACTCAAAAAAATCCATAACTGATGATTACCTCTAGACTTATTAGTCTTCCAATAGGCCCAACTGGTTTTATCACAGCATAATTTCTCTCCCATTGTACATGCGTCTCCATGGTTACAATATTTCCAGTATTTTCATCCAGAGCCTCATAGAGAGTCAGAACTCCATTGAAACGGTCACGGATGTATAGAAGGTGTACCTCCAACAGTTTTTGCGGACGAATTCGACATTGAGCTTCAAGTTCAAGGTCCTTAGCAGCCCGACGGAGGAAGGACATATAGAAAGAATGATGTTCATCTTTTTTCTTGGTATTGACGTCAAAGTGATGGTATTCATTTTGCCAGTAATGGTCACTCATCTCTGTAACAGAAGACCAGGAGTCATGAACTGTGTATATTTTCATACAACAAAGAAAATAAGACCTTTTTGATTTATGGATTTTTTTTTATCCTTTGTATGTGAAATAGATTTTTGAGTTTCATTAAGAAATAAATTGAATTGTACTACTCTTAATATAATGAAATTTAATGGACCAAAAAGTATCAGTAATGAAATTAGATACACTAAAAAGTATCAGTAATGAAATTAGATACACCAAAAAGTATCAGTAATGAAATTTGATACACCAAAAAGTATCAGTAATGAAATTAGATACACCACTAAAGTATCAGTAATAAAATTAGATACACTTAAAAGTATCAGTAATAAAATTAGATACACTAAAAAGTATCAGTAATGAAATTTGGTTCAAGGTGTAGAGCCAATGCCGTTGCTTTAGTTTAGGTTTGGTTGGTTCTGTTTATCCCTTACCTGGGTACCACCTGTTTATCCCTTACCTGGGTACCACCTGTTTATCCCTTACCTGGGTACCACCTGTCTATCCCTTACCTGGGTAACCACCTGTTTATCCTTTACCTTGGTACCACCTGCTTATCCCTTACCTGGGTACCTCCTGTTTATCCCTTACCTGGGTACCACCTGTCTATCCCTTACCTGGGTACCTCCTGTTTATCCCTTACCTGGGTACCACCTGTTTATCCCTTACCTGGGTACCACCTGTTTATCCCTTACCTGGGTACCACCTGTTTATTTCTTACCTGGATACCACCTGTTTATCCCTTACCTGGGTACCACCCCAGAAGGAAGGGCGATTGAAGAAAAGGGCAAACTAAGTATAAGAGTCAATCGCAACAGGTTCGGGATAAGTTGATTTTGATAATACGGTAATGTCTACCGGTTTCGCCCGAACAGTGGGCTTCTTCAGGACCGTAAACTCAAGTTATCCCGAACTTGTTATGATTGACTCTTATACTTATTATACTTTGATATACCAAACAGTATCAGTATGATGGTTATGAGAAATTTGTTGTACCTTCGTTGGTCTTTCCAAACAGGTAGATATCCAAACTGTTGATGATCTCCTGGTTGACAATGGCTTCAAACTTCCTCGAAAAGAATGTAGGCTTATGCTCATAGGCCTGAGTTAAAAAAAAATCAAACATAGTAAAACACATTTACAGCATACTAACATGCTTATTGTGAATTCTAGCCAGGTTTTTTTTCCTTAATTTGGGATAGGGCTTTTGGGAAGAAAATATACCAATAAGGAAGGAAATTTCCAGGAGTTAACTGCAAATTTGGGGAATTAGGCATGAATTTGAAATAGTTTAAATTGGGAATGGGGCCATTATTGGCCCCAAAAGTTCACAGAAAAAAAACTATCTAGCTAATTACAAAGTCAGACAGAAATTGTGTCCCTTGCAAAGAATTGTCTCTTGAAAATCACATTCTGAAATAATGCCGTAGTGCGTTAGCTTCATTTAAATAGTGATTTTTTTCTCATTATAAGTTTTACAGCACCAACTTTGGAAAATATATTAAAAGAAAAAGATCTGAACATTTATCTGAGGTTGTTAAAACAATTGTTAAAAATTCACTGGCATGAGCAACCTACCAGGAGTCTGTCAAAGTCGGTGGACTTGAGATCGTTAGGGGAGCAGCCACACCAGTCTACAATGTGTTTATACTGGCACTTACAGCCCTGTCGTCGACGCCAGTTTGTCATGTGAAGGTTGTTGTCGATACACTTGTCACAAAACGGGCTGTTGTGGATCAGCGTGTGAAAGAACGACTGTAACGACACATAAACAACAAGTGAACAACTCATCAAATATATACATTTAGTACAAATTTCATAGTTCTCAAGCAAACCACCTTGGTGTGATGTAATATCTAATGGGCTGTTGTGGATCAAAGTAAAGATTTAATGGTTCTCAAGCAAACCACCCTGGCGTGATGTAATATCTAACGGGCTGATGTGGATCAGCGTATGAAAGAATGACTGTAACAACACACAAACAACAAATAAACAACTTATAAATATGTAATATAATTATTTAGTACAGTTTTACTGGTTCTCAAGCAAACCACCGTGGCGTGATGTAATATGTAACTTCTTCTTTCAAGTTCTGTGTCATGACATATGTATACATTGTAACATATTTTTACATTTCGTTCACAACTTTATCATACTTGCCAACTTTTTAAAAATTTCTATGAGAGAAATTCTGCGTTCTCAAAATTAAAAACATCAAATAAAAAGCATGTAAATAGCCCTGAGGGAAACATTAACACTTTTAAAATGGACATATTTTGAGTTGTTTTTTCAGATGAAATCATAAGATCTTAGAATATAGGAATAGTTAAGTAAATTCATTGGTTGAATATATCAAAATTATAGGTCCAAAATAGGGAGTCTTCTTCCAAATGAGGCTGAGTTGGCAAGTAAGAATTTATTCCAACACATTACTCTTTACTTAAGTTTTTTTTTCATAAGTCTATGTTCTAATTACAGTACATAATCCTCTTTTTGGCGTGGATGGAAGCCTGCAGGAGGTCTTAATGTGGGACAAAAATAGAGTACCCAGAGAAAATCCACGTGGTGAGCAGGTGAGCCAATAAATGTTCACATCCAACTGGGGAGTTGAACCCTGGCTGTATCGATGAAAGGCAAGTTTGTTATCCAATCTGCCATTCAAGTGACCCAACCACCCTATGTTCTTAGTCTTACAACAAAAATAATACTGATGATATAATCATTTAAAATAATGACCACAAGATGTGAGCGTTTCCTTCTTCATAGTGATAGGAATAAATCTAAACCAACTCTAGTAAGCTATATAGCAGTCCATGGTCATTTGCTTCAGACAAACTTTGGTTTCAAAAATGAACTAGGAGCCATAACTGTGTACATAGTGGGCCACAAGAACTAAATTCAGTAGGTATCACTCCACCATCCCGAGAGAAATATTGATTTAACTCATTCAACCCTGAAATTTCTTTATGAACCATTCCATCCTTTGAATTGGAAGGGTTCAAATTTGTCTTCAGGATTATATGAGTTAAAACCTTTCTTACAATCATTTAAGGGGACCTTTGTGCTGTGCTATGTGTTTACTGTGAGTAAAACTATGATTATTTTCTCAAGATGTAACAAACCTCAACCGGCAGTAGTGTGTACTTAAACACCTGCTTGAGCCCAGACACCAGCTCCGACTTGGACTGAGAGGCGTAGATACAGAAGTCTCGATGGAGGGTGACCCAATCACTTCCTCCGTCTAGACGAAAGCCGCTGGGAAGGGTTCGAGGTGCCACCCTCCATAAGTGGTTTTCACACTCCAAAAACGTGTTCTCTAATCCCTGCTTTTGTATAAACCTGTGGAATGTTACATTCATTCAAATAAATTCAAACATTTTGAGTTCGACTGAACAGACTGCTTATTACAAAATCATACCTGAATAAATAAAATAAAAATATTGAGTCATGATTATGCTTAAATTATAATAACCTTCTGAATATGCATCATTTATAAAGTACATGAATGTGAATAAAATATGTTAAAACTGAGGACTATGTATCAACAAATTAATATGTATTATTGATATAAAAGTATGATTTACTATATGCTATAATTATTTTAAATACAGTAACCTTTAAAGGGACATCACGGTGAAGTGTATTTTTTTTCCGTCTTAATTTTTAAAATACTACATTAACATATCAAGTGAGTGGATTTGGCTGATATAATATTATATTCATAAAAATGAATAATTTTAAGATAATTATTGGGATTTCTACCTGTCTAACTAACATTTTATCAAGGATTTCCCTGCGTCAGAACTACTATAAGGCATGCGCATAGCACGCAATTTCATTGTAAACAAAATGACTAGCCGTGGGAATTGTTGGTGTGTGAAAAGCGTAACGCATCAGCTACGAAGCGAAAAGTTGTCAAATGGTCAAAAGATAGCGCAAGGATTAGTTACGGAATCATTATTACAGGTGGGAAGTATTCAAAGGAGAAAATAACTGCCCTAGAAATTGTTACGTTGCATGTATTTTTCCGGATAGCCGGTATAAAGTTGAAATGGAATCGACAGAAATGCTGTTTATGTTATGAATACATATCTAAAACTATTAACCTAGCTAGTATCTTTGTCTAAGTTGTCTGATTTTGCTATGAGGCCCTCCAAGGGATAACTGTTGTGATAGCCACGGCATATATATTCTGTTCTCTCTTCAGTTGGTACTCGGGGTCAAATGAGATACGTGCGCTGTTAGATTTACATAATTTACAATATTCCCAGGTACCGTAAAATTATATGATTTAATTATACTGCTGAAGTAAACGATTTTTTTTATTTACATGCAAGATTTAAATATGTCAAAATGACGGCTCATGATGAATAATTGAGGAAGGAGAACCTACTTATAGTAAATAGGATTGCATAACAAAAACATTTTTTAAATCGTAATAATTCAACAGTTTATGTTTTCACATGATGTTGACTTAGGATGCATGATTAGGCAACAACTTTTTTTCTATAAATAATTAATTTTCGACTTCAGATAGAATCGGAATGCGCATTGAAAACCGGAACAAAGTAATTTGTTACGTAAAAATGTTTCCTGCTGCCGATAACTACGGCTTCTGTTACGGACAAAAAGAACTGATTAAAAAAAAGTTGTCTCAATACAAGTATGCTTTAATCTATGCAAAGTATTGAAAACATATAACTATAAAGTATCTCAACACGTTCCATATCCGACACATATTCTACATGTACACGGAGTGGTTTTGCCAGAAATATTTAATGTGTGTGATGGCTAATATGACTTACTAAGTGTTAGCGTATGAAGACAGTGAAAGTGGTAAAGAGAGTATACATAAATTTATATGCATGGTCTAGAAAAAAAGTGGCCAAAGACATTGAGCTGTACGATGTAAAAAAAAATATCCCAAACGTTTCTCTTTTTTTATACTTGTCAATGCATATATACACTTTATAAAAACATTTGAAAGGGATATTCGTCTCATGAATATTACTTTTTACAGAAAGGTTTGTCCCATGGTTGAGGGAACGTGTTTAGCCCCGTACCCATTTGTACCGGTCACATTACGCTAATAGATATTCCCTGGTGTCTGTAAATAATGCAGAGATGCCAACAAATATTTCTTCATTTAAATTCTGAATATTAGCATGTGTGCAATTAACTTCTGATGATGAATAATTACTGATTCAATAAGTTTCAACACAGATTTGGAAATCATATTCCTTGGTTTCAACAGTTATTTTCAACAGGGCTTTCCCGAACAATTAAAGTGGTCAAACTGGACATTTGGAACGGACTATGAATATGGGGATAGCAAGTTAACATAAGTGGAAGTGCATACAACACATACATTCATTAAAAAAATATATGGCTCTTCACATAATGTCCCTTTAATATCATTGAATGTAAGTGATTAATGGCGAAATAAATTTTAATAACAAAAACATGTTAATCAAAAGAATCTGTAGTCAATCAGTTTGATCAATGTCTGACCAAACATTAACAGGAGTTTGAGGATGAGCTTACCGCATCGTTTCCCTGCCATGTGACTTCAGGAATGTATGACCCTTGTGTTTGGTCAAGAAAAGTTCTAATGTCTTCAACCGCCTGAAATTTGAATTTGAAAGTACAATTTAATACATAAAAAGATAAGCAAATGTTGCCACGATTCAAATGAAAATGTTATATAAAATTATAGGTGTTCAAATTTATGTTGATGATGGGTGAGAACTCACGATATATACAAAATAGATACATTTTCATTGATATTTTGAATTCTAAACAAGAGCTTGTCTGTGTTAAAAAAAAGAAATCCTGTATCTTTCAAACTAGTCCAGTTTTTTTATTTTTGTGTAAATATACAGCTGTTACAAACACGCCCATATTGAAGACTTCACTTTATTTTTCACATTTTCTCAGATATTTTGCCATTGAACGATTCTTTCCCTTATTTTGAGTAATGGATAATCTTAACCTGTGAAAATAAGCAGACCTTTGCTTAACATTTCATTTAAGATTAAAAAAAAAAACAATGAATGAAAATTAACCAATTATGTTATTTAGAAAAGGAGATGAAAAGCTAACATTGACCTACCACATCTGAATTTACCTACTAGGTATAATATATTTAATGCATTTTCGGTTTTAGATTGACAAATGCTTGTTAATGTTATTTCCAATATGTTCAACTACAGACCAATGGGGAGGTCACTTTTTTAGAAGGTCAAGTCATATCAGAGTTAGCTCAATTTCAGATGGGATTAGTGACTGCTACTCTTTGAGCAGCTTAAATGGGACATGGTAGTAACTGTTATTCAGGCTAATATAAAAAAAAAGTTACTCTCCAATAGAGTAAACACTGCTATTGAGTCAGAATTTATGTTACTATTGTGTAGGTTATTGTGTAGGGCTGCTGGTAAATATTGACTCGGTTCATGAGGTCACTGTTATTGAGTCAGACTGCATGTTAAATGGTCAAGTTGTAATTCTTGACTAAAATGTACTCACTTTATAGGGTAGTCACTCTCACTCAGGTTAAGGTAATAGTCCCACTTCCAATCCTTCATGCCAAGCAACTCCTCTATAAAATGGAGGTGGGCGTCAAGGAGACTTGCTCCACCCCAAATTGTTGCAAACCGTGTTCGTGCCAGGTGGATATTTGAAAACTGCTTTTCAAGGGGAAGTAACTCTCGAAATAAGAACTCCTGCCTCTGGAATATATAACATAGCAAAGCAGATACAAAAATCTGACCCATAAAAGTAATACATGGTATTACTATCAGAAATATTTAATAAAGTCATTTACAGTCTGTACTGTATTTTTACCATGTTGGTGCGGCAAGAAAATTAGTGTTTTGAGGGACTTTAAAAGGCATTCCATATATTATATTTAACTAGAGAACAGAATGTTTTTGTGTTCAATATCCTTAGAAAATAGCAAGAAAGCATTCTTCTCAGCATCAAAAATACAGTTTGTTATTTCTATAATAGTGATACTCATTGTCAGTGAGATGCTGTTACATAAATGTGAGTATAATGTGTCAGACAGCAAATATATGCGGAGACAGTTTTTTGTATGTATCATTGTATATAATTAAAAAAAGGTTTGAAGATCTCTATCCTCGGGGTCTTTCCATTTTCTTTAATCAGGAGGAATGACTGACCTCCTGATAAAACCTGAAGAGTCAAAACCACTAAAGGAAAGTTATGTTCCAACTTTGTTTTTGTCATAGTTTATGAATCATTTGCTTTGAAAAAACAACTGTTGGCTGTTTACATATTTTACTGAAGTATGTTATTTTTTCTATATCAATATTGTTTGTGAACCTAGCTAAATAAAGGAGACATGAAGCATAATACATTAAGTAAACTGTAATGAGAGATATTTGAAGAATTAAAATGTAAAAAGCTGCCGATACCTTATCTACATGTATGTAGTAGTAATGATCACGATGATATATGGCCTTAATCAGCCTGCGGACCTGACGAACGGCTCGCCCATTCACAGTGAAAACAAACACGATTTTCACCGTCTCATCTTGCATCTCCATTTGTGTATCGTCTGATATTAGTGACGCCTCAGCAAGTATTTTCTCTAAAATGAAAAAAAAAACACTGACAAGTTACAAAGGGCCATACATATAGTTTTGACAGTATATATATCATCCCTGGTCTATTTTTAGTATCAGGGATTGATCTGACTGATTGCCACCATGAATTTCGGAATGCAAGTAATTTGTTGTTATTTAATGACATGTAGAATATCCATCCAATACTGTTTAACAACCTAATGTGTTGCTGATTATATACCCCGTTCTATTTTACTAAGTGCCCTTGACTTTAACTTCAGAAATTTTTCACATCCCTACTGCACATATACATTGTAACTGCTGTGTAATACCATTTAAAAATTAAGAAAAATTAGACTTTGAACACCTATCTCTACATTCTTCTTACTTTCAAGCACTTAGATGACTGAGAAAGGGATAACATTCATAAAATGTCACTTGAAGTTTGGCATTTACTAAGCAAAAAATAATCAGCCCAAATTAATTTTCTTTTTCACCATAGCGACTGGATTTTTCTACGCCTGGAAGCTTATTACAAACAAGACAAGGAACTACTTTTTTATGCACATCGAAATCTCTTCCAATGAGTCATGTGGTTGGGCTTATTGCTGAGCATGTGTTTATCATTGGTACTCACCCCTAAGACCAGTGCTGTAGATACTATTGGGGGGGGGGGGGGGGGGGTATCCTGAGCATGTGTTTATCATTGGTCCTCACCCCTAAGACAAGTGCTGTAGATACTATTGGGGGGGGGGGGGGGGGGGTATCCTGAGCATGTGTTTATCATTGGTCCTCACCCCTAAGACAAGTGCTGTAGATACTATTGGCGAGGTATCCTAAGCGTATGCTTTTCATTGGTACTCACCCCTAAGACAAGTGCTGTAGATACTATTGGGGGGGGGGGGGGGGGGGTATCCTGAGCATGTGTTTATCATTGGTCCTCACCCCTAAGACAAGTGCTGTAGATACTATTGGCGAGGTATCCTAAGCGTATGCTTTTCATTGGTACTCACCCCTAAGACAAGTGCTGTAGATACTATTGGGGGGGGGGGGGGGGGGGTATCCTGAGCATGTGTTTATCATTGGTCCTCACCCCTAAGACAAGTGCTGTAGATACTATTGGGGGTATCCTGAGGGTGGGTTTATCATTGGTACTCACCCCTAAGACAAGTGCTGTAGATACTATTGGGGGTATCCTGAGCCTGTGTTTATCATTGGTACTCACCTCTAAGACCAGTGCTGTAGATACTATTGGCGAGGTATCCTGAGCATGTGTTTATCATTGGTACTCACCCCTAAGACAAGTGCTGTAGATACTATTGGGGGTATCCTGAGCGTGTGTTTATCATTGGTACTCACCCCTAAGACCAGTGCTGTAGATACTATTGGCGAGGTATCCTGAGCGTATGTTTATCATTGGTACTCACCCCTAAGACCAGTGCTGTAGATACTATTGGCAAGGTATCCACCACATTTCTCTTCCTTGCTGCCCGGACAGCTACTTACACACCTGCCTTCTTCCTCCATTTTGTGTGTTCCGTAATTGTTCCCACACCAGCATTCCTTACTATACTGTAGCCCGGCATATACATACCCTTAAATAATAAATTTTCGGGAATTAGACATAATTAATATAAATACTTAACTCCTTGAAATTACCAATATGATATAACATCACCAAAATAATTTGACGAGCTCTGACACATGTTCCCTTGCAATTGAGTGTCAAGAACCTGGTCTGTTCGTTACATTCACATTAAGTTCCAAAGTAAAGGTGAATTGGTTTAGTTTGTTTGTGCTTAAGTTCTATCAAGCGCTATGGCCATTTAAGGACAAGCTAGGTTTTGTCGGTGGAAGAAAACCAGAGGACCCAGAGAAAACCCACTGACCTGCGTCCAGTACCTGGCCACTGCACCATGTGAGCCTCAAACCGTGAGCCAGTGGTGGAGGGCTAGCGATCATAGACGGTCAGATACCTTAACCACTCAGCCACTGTGGCCCCCTAACCACTCAGCCACTGTGGCCCCCTAACCACTCAGCCACTGTGGCCCCCTAACCACTCAGCCACTGTGGCCCCCATGGAAGGTGGAGGGTGGTCTTTTATGTCCTTAGGGTCGAAGATATTGTTGAAAGATGAAGTCACGTAGCAAAACTATACTGCTGGGTTGATAAAGTTTGGAGGGTTTGAGTGCTTGTTTGATTGTTAAAACAATGACACAAAATCTGTACCAAAAAGAATTCTATTCTCCTCACTTTCAATTTAATTCTCTGTTAAGGATTTCTTTACTACTGCATGCAAAACATTTGTCAATTCCATTGAAGTTTTTCTGTACATACAGTAACTTCCCCTAAATTTTCCTTTTGGTGAAATTGTAGTATGGCTGCAGGGCTTGACACTACTGTTTACCAGGTAGTTCTGTTGCTTTAATGATCAGAAGCTTTAAGGCTAAAGTTGGTCTGGCCCCACTGCTTTTTGCACTATTTTTACACTGTAGTTTTTGTTTTGTGCTGTTGTTTTTTGTTGATTTCATCATCTTTTTTTTTTTGCATAAAAATTCTGTAAGGTATATGTAAAATATAAACTTTATTTATTATACAACAATTATTAAACAATCTTTACAACTTATATTAATCACTCTTGTTGGCCCAGATTTTAGCACGTGGGGGTCTTACTGTTGGAGGAAACCAGAGTACCCTGAGAAAACCCATGTGATCGAGCAGATGACCCCATACCTTTTCACATCCAATCGGGGAATCAAACCCCGGCCGCCTTGGTGAAAGGCAAGTGCGCTATCCAGTGCACCACCCAACCACCCGAGGTATGGTTTCTTGTCAGAAATAACTTATCAAAGCTATAGTCATGCCAAAAAAGAGAAAAAAGTTTCCAATGCAAAATCACAGCTTTTGGCAGTGGTACTGGGATCCTTAAACAAGAGATCCCAGAGGGATCTTGGCACCCACCATTGTACCATCTTCATTAGATCTTTGTCAGTTAGATCTTTTCTCTTCTTCCCTCTTATCTGTTTGATCGAGTCATGTTAACAGTAAATACACCTTGAGGTAACTTTTGATCCAAACCTAATACTGATGTGTATGAGCGCCAACCTTCAAAGTGAGTTTGTCATTTCACATATTTACTAGTACAGTACTTGATGTGAAAGAAATAGAATCGATCATTGCAATATGAGAAAGATCTGTTTAGTTCTTACTTTAGCCATTTTGTTTTTATGATCAGTCTCAAAATATAACATACACAACGAGGGATCAAGGGGAACCTACATATCAAATTTGAGAAAGATCCCTCAAGTTATTCCTGAGAAAAAGTACTAACAAACCTTCAATGTCAAAAATCGAAGATGGTTGTCAGTTGGCCGTTTTGTTTAACTGATCAGTTTCGAAAGTAAACATGAACAATAAAGGATAGTCGGTAACCTGCATTGGCTGGCCCAAATGATTTTTTTGGGGCGAATAAAAAATTTGAAGCAATGGCCCATATGATATATTGGTGGCCCAAATAATTTTGGGAAGAATTATTTCCACAGCATTTAACACAATGCTTCAGCACATTTAAATTACATATTACATGACAATGTTTGTAATATGTAAAACAAAATAAAACATTATATATTTATTCTTCAACCCTAGTTAAAACCTGACATGATCCACTCCATTCAGGTATTTAGTATTTCCCAAAGAAATACACAAAACTCGCACCTCAAAGACGACACCCTGGCCATATTTTCTAAATCACGTCAGTTCGATTCAAACTGAAGTAATGACAACTGAAAAATGTACTGCCCCCCAGTTAATGTGAAAGGGACTATACCTGGTAAGTTCTTTTATTCACGAATTTTTCGACAGTCGCCCAAATTTTTGTTGGGCCAGTGACTACCTCAAAAGTGACTACCTCACTTTTGATAACTTATGGTCACCCGAGCAAGACTTTAATCGCCATTATGGCTATTTCTCAGGAAGTACCAGAGGGCTCTTTCACAAATTTTATATGTAGGTTCCCCTTAAAGCTTGTTCCCTTGTTTTGCAGCAGTGCATTTCAGGCACTGCTGCAGAACAAGGGAACAAGCTTTAAGGGGAACCTACATATAAAATTTGTGAAATAGCCCTCTGGTACTTCCTGAGAAATAGCCATAACAAACTTTCACTGTCAAAATCCAAGATGATTGCCTGTCGGCCATGTTGTTTATCCGATCAGTCTCAAAAGTTGCCCTGCACAGCTAGGAACCAAGGGGAACCTACATATAAAATTTGAGAAAGATCCCTATGGTACTTCTTGAGAAATACCGATAACAATAATTGTTTACAGACGGATGACGGACGACAGACAACGGACGCAGGGTGATTTGAATAGCCCACCATCAGATGATGGTGGGCTAAAATATGAAATAATTAGCCTCCACATAAATACTTTCACATTACATTTCACAATATAGTCCTGAGAATCCAGAATTAGATATAATTAGGTAGAAAGGAAATTGTATACTGGGTGGTGAAACATGACTTACCTAAAAGTAGACAGAAGTTTGTGCATTTGGTTGGTGAGTTGTCCTCTGGGAAGTCTGTATGAAATCGTAAGTCACGAATCTGCAAGTTGTCACGGAAACAACCCAGATGATGGCCTTTGCTGTATGTGCCTGGACATAGATTCAAAACTCATTCCATAGGATTGGAGAGAGCAATAAAATTAATTTCTCTATGTGTCTATATTAAATTCCCAAAATGTCAAGAATAAGGGGTACAGATGTTTCGGTACGTGTATATGTATAAGGTGTTTCAGTACTTGTATATGCATAAGGTGTTTCTGTACTTTCCAAAAGTCTTTTTGATATAATGATTACATTTTCGGCACTTTGACAACACAGTGACATGCTTGTTTTTATGTGTTCCGTGTGTCGGTTATTTGATATTTTCATACATTCTTAAGCTTTTTACGCTTTCAAAGAAAGAGCTGCATAATCCATTTGTTTATAGGTACTGCAACTACTGGGTACTGAAACATCTAGAATTCAAGAATAATTTCCCAAAGAGTCAAGTCTCAAATTCTCAATTTATATCGGAGTTAGGACTGTGTGTCAAGAACAAGTTAAGAATTTACCTTTATATGGACAGGTATTAGGTAGACTAGTTGGGTAAAGTTTTCCCTCCTGGGAAAGGCAGTAGACATCTGCAATCTCTTGTTTACAGCCCGGTGTTTTGGACCGGTTGATGGCCGACATTGCCTCCTTGCCAGTAATGAGACACTTTGGCTTATATGATAGTGGCACATTGATTGTGTTATTGTCTATAAAATGAGTATCTAATGTCTGTGTAAATAAGTGCTGAAGTTGTACGGCATCAGGCGGGTCTTTTCCATTCTATTAACATAAAAGAAGAATATATATATACAATGTTTATGCACTGGATCTGAAAAATACAACTGTTCATCAGATGCGTGTTACTTAACATTAAATACATATATAAACAAAGAGGTAATACATGTGTAGCAGCAATACTGACATTAGGATCAATGAAATTCAATAATTAATGGTTTTCTGTTATATATTTTGGGATATAGAGTTGTTTATTGGGTCACTATTTATGTGACTATGTCTTGTGTTTAGATGTTTTGATAAATAAGTGTTTATGTTTGTGTCTTGCGAAGAAGGCAGATTTTGGGTTAGAAAAAGGAAGGTGTTTATATAAACATTTTCAGATAATTATTTCAAATCAATCATACTTGCCGATTAACTCTCGTTATTTAGGACAGAGACTCCTGATTTTGGACCCTAGTCTTTAGTCTTTCCATCCAGTGAATTTGCACTATATTCTAAGATCAAATGATTTTAGCATAAAGAACAAAAAAGATGCCATTTTGAAGTGGTAATTTTCCCCTCAGGGGTATATATACACATTTTATTTAAGTTTTTAATTTTGAATATGCAGAATCTTTCCCATGAAAATTTCAAACAGTTGGTAAGTATGAATCAATGTTTATGGAATTGTTCCAGCTGGTCATTATCAACAACAGAATTCTTTTCATGATATAATATTTACATTTCCACTGCACAGAGCCTAGATGTTTCTACCGGGCCCAATGTATGTTATTTCCGTATAACATACATTGGGCTATTGTGACGACGCTATGCTAATGACGTCATAACTGTAACGTTGGAGATTGCACTGCTCCACTGTCAACTGGTGGCTGTTCTCTGTATGGATTTACCCTGACGTTGAAACGTGTTCAGACTAATATTATGTCTTTATTTCTGCGTGAACTGTAAGTTGATTAACATAAAATGTAAATATAAGGATTGGTTGTCATACTTTTGACATGCATTGGTGTGTAGAGCGCTCCATTCAATATGTATAGGTAAGTCAATATATGTTACACACCAATGCATGTCAAAAATATGACAACCAATCCTTAAATGACAGGATATTGTCTGCACTTTATAGTATATATATAGTGTTGTTATCATATTCCAGTTTGTTTTTATATAGGTTTGTAAGTAAAAGTCAATCTGACTATGGTTGTATTTCAATAAGGGGAGCAAATCCAGTTAGTCTCAAGTTTAGTGATAAAAAACAAATTTTCATAATACAGGACTTCGTCTCAGCACGAACTTAGATAACAGGGATTTCTAATCTAATTCCGTGGTCTCAGTCTGTATCACTTTCTCATGTTCATTATGCATAGAAACACAAACATATGTTCAAAAGGTTTTAAATAAAAACCTAAAAATACACCTATGAGAATTAAAAATGAATCACCTGAAGACAAGAAACAAAACTGCTACGGAAAATTTTCTCTTTTTTTTCTCTCTCCAAAAATAACAATCTGAAAATGTTCTGTAATTACTCATTAAGTTAACCCAGGCCTTGAACAGTTGTGATGATAACTCAATTTGTCTCTCATACAGACACGTAAACAACTCAGATTTCAATCTAAAGTTAGCTAATGGGTTTGAAGACTGTAAGCAAATAACTTCATGCATTCATGTAAAGGACTCGAGGCCAAACATAATTCTTTCCAGATACACTAAAATGTTTTGTTTGTTGTAAATGTCATACGTATACACTGTACAGGACTATTGGGTGTAGTTTGATCAAAATCTGCTGTCTGAAATAAAGTCACAACGATTTTCTATAAATAGAAATGGTGACCTTGAACTTGAAACACAAAATCATTTGAGGTATTGATATCTTTGACAATATATGAAGTTTTATCAAAATCAGAAATTATGTCATTATCGCAATGACAACAGGTGAACATGTCTTTGAATGCACAAGCGTACAAACATTCAAAAAGAACATATACCTCCTCAATAACCTCATTAAGGGGGATTATAGAAAAGTCTTTGTTTATAATAAATAGCAAAAAATCTAATGATTTTAGCCTTATCAAAAAGTTTTGTGTTAATTTCAGATTTTATTGTTTTTTCAGGTAATTAAATTCAAAAATATACAAATAACAGCCATAATATACAATCATAATCTTTATGCAGAACATTTAAACAAATTAATACTGGTTTGTTTTACCTAAAATATTCTCGATCACTAGTACAACAAACAAAAAGTCTTGGTAGAGGAAAACTTAAGTTGATGAACCTCCTATGTTCATAGTTTACATAGCTAAAGATCACGAGAAAATATGAAAAGTTTCAGGACGATGGCCTGGCCTATATAGATTTTTTAGTGAGTGCTGACATTGCATTGTGGAAAGAAAAAAATATCACTGTATATGTCCATATGCAAATTATACGTCAATAGGTAAATTTCTACTTTTTTGTCATAATTTGAAGTCATGGACTTGTAAGACATCCTCACAAATCTTAAACATCATGTTAGGGCCCTCGGGTTGAATATTGTCGCATATAAATGACTTTTAAGTTTACAGGCAAGACTAAATGCTTTTAAAGAGAAATATTATCCTGACTCCTGATCAGGAGTGTATCTTTTAAGGGAAAGTAAATTACTCATGTCGTACCTAAGGCTAATTATAGTCCATTGATATTGTCAGGCAAAAATAAACAAAAGTACCTGTTCCATTGTGTACCTGCCTAATACCTGGTGTATCTTATCATAAGGAATTATTCAGTGACTTGTATGCCTTTGGCTCAAAATTTCTTTTTACTGATGGTTTGGTTTGTGTTTTACATCCGATTTAGTATTAAGAGTTAGGATCATTTTAGAACAAGCCAGGTTTTTGTGGCGGAGGAAAACCAGGGAAAATCCACAATCCTGAAGCCAGTACCTGGATAATGCCCAACATTGGCCTTGAATGTGTGACCCAGTGGTGGAGGGCTTAAGTGATTGTAGATGGTCGGACACCTTGACCACTCGGCCACCATGACCCTACCCTCTTACTAGTGTCTCATGAGAAACTATTGTCTATGTATGACAATACAAAGACAACTATCTATAGAGAACTTGACTGGGGCCTTTACAGAACCAAATACCCCCTACCACTAATAATGGGCAGGGGGTTTAGATCTATCCATAATCGGTTTATAATTTTATGGGACTGCATACCCAAATAAAGAGAACAGTACTGTTCTATCAATAGACAGAGTTGTAAGCTTAACATTAGGTTTGGTTCTTTTATAATGAATAGATTTCAAGCAGCTTTTGTGCAAATTTGTCAGTCATTTAGAAAAAATCATAAGAAAAAAATACTTTTAATACATACTTTACAATGTATAGATTTGACATTCTGATTTCAATATTGAAGCAGTTACATGCATAATTGGAATCGGAAAGGGCAAACCGATCAATTTCAGATCATCAGCCCATCACTACCAGTCCACCCCTGCAGGTCGAGCATGGAGAATAGAATACACCTGCTGTTACCTAATGCATGTATCATTCGAGGTGACTAATGTGGGAACCCCTTGCAGAATTGGGTATTTGCATTTGTGTCCCCAAATAGAGGGCATAAAAGCAATCAAAATAATTCTGCTGCACCCATTGCAACATTTGGGATATTTCTCTATTTTTCTACTTCTATCTACCTTTTATTTCCGAGCGCCTTGCTTGGCAACACCTCACTTCTGGCTTTAATGTTGAGCATTCGCCCAATGAGGAAGGCAGTGGGTTATGTCCCTGCGGGCCCAGACATACCAAAGTCCTTAAAAATGGTAGTTGTTATTCCCTGCTTAACAACTGGCTCACCCGTTGTCAGTGTAATGTGACCGGGCGTAATGCTGTGCTGGGTGCCTTCAGCATGGTATTTCAGTGAGATAGCACTATAAAGTCGGCATCAGATCCGTGCTATCTCAAGGAGACAAGTACACCAACATACTCTGTCTACAGCATACATACACTCATGCACACATACACTACACACATGGAGGCACATCCTTAAATTACCTCGGCTGTTCATAGGAAGTTTATCAAAATAAAACCAAACTACTACCAGTCTCCCACCACCTGTGTAAGTAATCCCTACATTGAATTTAAATAAAGTACAATATTGCAGTATACAATAGAACCTTGTTGAAGGTCTGGCTTACATGTTTAAGTTTCTGGATTATACAGGGTGCTGTAAACACAGGATATGTCACGCTGCACATTGGCATCCTCGATATCCAGGGGTTATGCTCACTTTTGCTCTCTGCACCCCTGGAATATGTCATAGCAAAATTGGTGGCTCGGGGCTAACTTGGTGTCAGATTGTCAATCAGAATGTGGCTATATAGTTCTTGGTTTGGGGAATTAGCTGTGGTAGAATAAGCAACATCTTGACAAGCACCCTTTGTGGTTGTACTGTATTTACCTAAGGTTCAAAGGAATGAGTCCAGTCCAGATTCTCTTTTGTGCTAGGTTTATTCATATACACAAAAGTCAGTATGTTACAAAGTCAGTACTTCCATATCTTGCTGCTGGCTTATACTTTAAAGTTGGTAAAGTCCATTGGTCCAGTGTATCAGACCAGCACCTCCACTCTCGCTCCTGTCTGTGTGTCGACTCCCTAAAATAAATACCAGTCGCCACCGTTCACCAGTCACGCACACTTTGCAAGGTGTGGAACGGCATAACACTTTCCCAAAAACAGCCAAGATGTTAGATATCACTCTGAATAAAATATAAACCCCGAATAATCAATTACTGAAAAGGTACTACTGCATCAGTAGTTATCGTGATGAAGATTTCTATGTCTGAGCTGATTTGTTTTTCGACAGGCAGTGTATAGGTCTCTAGTTTAATCCCTGTAACTTTTGTTCCTTTTAATTGTGTTTTTGTTTTACTACAATTCTATTTGTGGAAAACTTTTGTAGAATAGGACATTTTTCATGATAGCATACAAGCAAGGATTTATATTTATCTTCAATTTTGGATGCAAAAAACACTGACTCATATCTATAATTCGAGGTTC